GTTCTCTCTAGCCGAGTGGTATATTGCGGCCAGTATTCACCAGGGTTATATGTCTGTATTTGCAACCGGCCTATTTTTGGACAAATTAATACAATATGGCTGTTTTTACTCAAAGTTATAAATAAAGAATAAAGATTTATTTTTGCTTTGAACTTGTAGTGGTTTCGTCGCCTATACACACTATCTATTCAGTGCCACGTGTTGTCGCCTATACACACTATCTATTCAGTGCCACGTGTTGTCGCCTATACACACTATCTATTCAGTGCCACGTGTTGTCGCCTGTACACACTATCTATTCAGTGCCACGTGTTGTCGCCTATACACACTATCTATTCAGTGCCACGTGTTGTCGGCCATACACACTATCTATTCAGTGCCACGTGTTGTCGCCTATACACACTATCTATTCAGTGCCACGTGTTGTCGCCTATACACACTATCTATTCAGTGCCACGTGTTGTCGCCTATACACACTATCTATTCAGTGCCACGTGTTGTCGGCCATACACACTATCTATTCAGTGCCACGTGTTGTCGGCCATACACACTATCTATTCAGTGCCACGTGTTGTCGCCTATACACACTATCTATTCAGTGCCACGTGTTGTCGCCTATACACACTATCTATTCAGTGCCACGTGTTGTCGGCCATACACACTATCTATTCAGTGCCACGTGTTGTCGCCTATACACACTATCTATTCAGTGCCACGTGTTGTCGCCTATACACACTATCTATTCAGTGCCACGTGTTGTCGCCTATACACACTATCTATTCAGTGCCACGTGTTGTCGGCCATACACACTATCTATTCAGTGCCACGTGTTGTCGGCTATACACACTATCTATTCAGTGCCACGTGTTGTGGCCTATACACACTATCTATTCAGTGCCACGTGTTGTCGCCTATACACACTATCTATTCAGTGCCACGTGTTGTCGCCTATACACACTATCTATTCAGTGCCACGTGTTGTCGCCTATACACACTATCTATTCAGTGCCACGTGTTGTCGGCCATACACACTATCTATTCAGTGCCACGTGTTGTCGGCCATACATACTATCTATTCAGTGCCACGTGTTGTCGCCTATACACACTATCTATTCAGTGCCACGTGTTGTCGCCTATACACACTATCTATTCAGTGCCACGTGTTGTCGGCCATACACACTATCTATTCAGTGCCACGTGTTGTCGGCCATACACACTATCTATTCAGTGCCACGTGTTGTGGCCTATACACACTATCTATTCAGTGCCACGTGTTGTCGCCTATACACACTATCTATTCAGTGCCACGTGTTGTCGCCTATACACACTATCTATTCAGTGCCACGTGTTGTCGCCTATACACACTATCTATTCAGTGCCACGTGTTGTCGGCCATACACACTATCTATTCAGTGCCACGTGTTGTCGGCCATACACACTATCTATTCAGTGCCACGTGTTGTCGCCTATACACACTATCTATTCAGTGCCACGTGTTGTCGCCTATACACACTATCTATTCAGTGCCACGTGTTGTCGGCCATACACACTATCTATTCAGTGCCACGTGTTGTCGCCTATACACACTATCTATTCAGTGCCACGTGTTGTCGCCTATACACACTATCTATTCAGTGCCACGTGTTGTCGCCTATACACACTATCTATTCAGTGCCACGTGTTGTCGCCTATACACACTATCTATTCAGCGCCACGTGTTGTCGCCTGTACACACTATCTATTCAGTGCCACGTGTTGTCGCCTATACACACTATCTATTCAGTGCCACGTGTTGTCGGCCATACACACTATCTATTCAGTGCCACGTGTTGTCGCCTATACACACTATCTATTCAGTGCCACGTGTTGTCGCCTATACACACTATCTATTCAGTGCCACGTGTTGTCGGCCATACACACTATCTATTCAGTGCCACGTGTTGTCGCCTATACACACTATCTATTCAGTGCCACGTGTTGTCGGCCATACACACTATCTATTCAGTGCCACGTGTTGTCGCCTATACACACTATCTATTCAGTGCCACGTGTTGTCGCCTATACACACTATCTATTCAGTGCCACGTGTTGTCGCCTATACACACTATCTATTCAGTGCCACGTGTTGTCGCCTATACACACTATCTATTCAGTGCCACGTGTTGTCGCCTATACACACTATCTATTCAGTGCCACGTGTTGTCGCCTATACACACTATCTATTCAGTGCCACGTGTTGCTATAGACATAAGATTCTATTTTAGACTGACATATTTGTTTAACCAAGTGCTTCAACTTTTTCTGCGAAGTATTGGGGCTTTTTATCCTTTTGATCCTCTAGAAATGATATGATGATCTATACCTGATCAGTGTATTCTGAAGTATTTAGGTACTATATATATATATCCACAACAGTTAGCCACATCTTGGTCAAACAATTGGCACAGATCGGTTTTTTACATAAGTTTTGTTGTAAGTTTCCTATAAAAACACATATACCACTATATTAGTATCGGTGCACTCAGAAAAAGACACGGAGGGGTTGAAACTGTCTTTTTTCTTGTTTCTGGTGTCATTTCATCCGTAACATTTTAAGGATAGATGTTGTAAAATCATATTATCTCGAAGGATCAAAACCTTCTTAGTTTTCCCTTGCACTAATGCTATTTCGTTTGCATTAGTATTGAAATTTCGTGTTTCTTATTGCAATATTCATTATTCTAGCTTGGGCAAACTGATGACATTAAAAATCTGGTATAGTTGTAGTACTAAGGTACTGCTGTCAACGTAGACACTTTATAGAGTTAAAATTTAATATCAGACTTTACCAAGTTGTTAACGTTTTACAAACGAAACAGTTTCAGAGCCAAGTAATGAAGTAAACTGCACCATACAGTTGTTTGGTCAACTCGTATGCCTGGGAATAGAATGTGCTAGAGCAACAACCTTTTCAATAAAACATGTGTCTGTTTATAATATCTTTGGTGTTAACATGCTTTAACTAATTTATAACCCTGTCAATAGTTATATGACCTTGTTCTGTGGAATATCCTACAAAACAGGACATCTGTTAACAAACAAAAACAACTTATATAAACCGGAAGTACCAAACAAGGGTTATAAATCGGAAGTACGTATCTGCGGTGGCTAGGCCGACATATCGGAAACGAGATAACTACTCGATACATGGATGTAAATGTACATCGCTAATGACTAAAGTGTAGAGAAAAAACATTTATTGAATTATCACGTTTTTTTTTATTCAGTTGCGTTATTTTCCGCTGCGATGCAGTTTTCACAAAAGCAAAAACTTTATACAATTGGATTTTTTTAAAAAAAACTTTTACATGTAGAGTACACACGTTCCATAAGTTGAACTGTTGTCTAAAAACGTTTAAATGTAAAAAAAAATGAAAGATAAAAATGTTATCAAAAAAATGCACACACACACACACACACACACACACACACACACACACACACACACACACACACACACACACTCACACACACACACACACACACACACACACACACACACACACACACACACACACACACACACACACACACACTCACACACACACACACACACACACACACACACACACACACACACACACACCACACACCCCACATCACACACATACACACACACACTCACACACCATATCACATCACATCACACACATACACACGCACACACGTAGTGGGCCTACCATACTCTATAAAATCGGCCAGAGTAACACATATGTATATGTTGCAAACATAGTAATTACTTACATATCAATTTACGTTTTCTGTACCTGGTCTATCAGTGCAACGAGTTGAGCAAAGAGAGGTCTCCGGTGACCTTGATCTAGATATCTCAAGGTGACCACATGCTAGGCGACAGTCAACAATTTGTCGCCGGGCTAAGTCATTTCTTTACTGTGTTATATAAGTAATCCTGTTATCCTATAGTATCAACGGGGGAATTCCCATCCACTCTATATCTGTGTTGTTACAGATAGTGAGCCCAATTCTCTACAGGTGGGGTTCGTCTAATGATGTAAGGTGTTTACATAGAGACACACTCAAGTGATAGTCTTAGTGACTTCCTCTAATAAAATTGAGCTGGTCAGGACTACATTACAAAGCTGCTTTCCCTCTCTCGACACATATGTTAGATAAATACATCATAACCTTTATTATATTCGAGTTGTCTACCTCCTGCAAACAAATGCATGATTATGAATACACTTACCGGTTGTTGGTGTAATAACGACTGTGACTACATTAACAGTGGTTAGAGGTGCACAACCTTGTATAAATCAGAAATATTTCAAGTCTGAACACTCTTTTTATTGAAATCGTTCTATGTTAATCTGGAGCGCGAAGATAACACAACGTTACTAAACCATGATAACGGCATACTTGATGTTGTTCTCTCCACATGTGTACACATTTCAGCATCATTTTCCGGACGGTCACCGTGTCACGTTGTTAAGCTCTTCCGTGTTTGGAGGTGAAGTTTAAGAAGGTGGTGATCAAAAATTCAGCTCCGATGTTTTTTTTATATTTGGAGTTGAGGAAAGGTATTTAACTTTGGTGTTTTAAACTTGGACCCGACGCTTACGGAGACAACGATTAAAACTAACTTGGATATTTTTCATATTTGGAAGTAAGAAATTGTATTTACCCTTGGTTCTTTCGCTTAAATGTGACAATTTTGGAAAATGCGACTTATTTCAATTTGAATGATTGATATTAAGTGGGAAAAGATATGAACATTAATGTAGATTTGGATGTTTGATATTCGAGGTTCTTTATAGGAATAATGTACACATTCTATTCCAAAATCGTAAATAACAGCGCAAATAAAAAAAGAGAGAAAGTTATCACAGAAAATAAGAACCAAGATATTATGTTAATGAGCCAGCAATAGTGTGGGAATCTGACTCATGAAGATGCACTAAGAGAGAGCGCTAGGCGATAGTCACTAGCTCAGAGGGCTGCCAGTATCACAAGACACACACAACAAACCATGCCAGCCAAGGACCACCAAAAACAGAGTTTCGATTCGCGAATTTTCAAATTAAGATAGCCTAGTCAAATCCTATATATAACTGTTCGATTATAAGCAGTTTGTGTATACGGAAATTTGTTGTGAGGAGGAAAAGAAGAATATGTCTGTGTTGAGTGATATTTTTGTGCTACGTTATGTTCTGTTAATATCGGCTGATTACACAGCAACATATGGACCGTGTTATGTTCTTTATCAGAGAAACCGTCTATAATTCATTAACAAATGGAAATACCTATTGACAGTCAGGTGCCTTTGATAAATGGTTGGACGTCCAACGACACACCCAGTCAAAGGTAAATATGTTTTATTCATATCTAAATCATTTAATTTTCATGATATAAAATATTTTATAATAACGACGATGTCACGAGCTCGTGGTTTTGTTTTATAATTTTTCATCATCATGATTATGTAAGTGTTAAATCATCATCATCATTATCATCATTACTGTCGTCGTTGTTAATATTTTCGTCCTCTTCCTCGTCGTCTTCTTCCCTTCGTCCTCCTATTCCTCTCGCCGTTACTCATTATCTTTTCCGCCATGTTTGGTGTCATCGTTGTCATTCACTCTAATGGATACATGCGGCGGGCCTCCTGTATGCAGTCCACTGAGGAAGCCACCAGGTACAACAAGGAAACCCTGCCACAAAATCACTGTCCTCGGGGCGATAAACAATCTCGTAAAGATTAGGACTTTCTACAATAACAATTAAATATCATTGCAAACAAACATTATATAATCATAAATTGGTAAATACATCCCCTTTAGGTTCCAGATCACCTGTTTTTTCCTCTGTATAAAATGATCTGACAGTCTTCTTCTACGCACGAAAGTGAATATTTTCCTTCGTGGCCTCGTTTTGAGGACATCAAACGATATTGACCCAGTAACCCAAATATGAAATATTTCTTTCCTTTCTTTGGCATTCTTTTTTTTCTTCTTTCTTTGGTGTCTTCTATGACATCACTTGTTGACCCGCTGTCACAATAGCGTGATTGAGTGAGATTTAAAAGTCGTGTTTCCGTATTGCGTTGTGGTGGCACTTTACATTGGCAAGTACGAATAATAATGAATACCGAATAAGAATAATGACAGCGGCTGCGAGATCAAAAAATTAACCCAAACACCAATCTAGTCATCAATTGATTTAACCTATCTGTTCGTCCATCCATCCATCCATCCATCTATCCATCCAGCAATCCAATCCATCCATCCATCCATCCATCCATCCATCCAGCAGTTCAATCTATCCATCCATCCATCCGTCATGCTTCTTCTTTTAAAATTGCATATTATTATACAAATGTTAATGAATGTCAGATGTTTTTTCATACAATTCACAAATTGATATCCCATCAGTATTATGCCACGTCAAGTCTAATAATGTCTGATTGTGGAAACGTAAATTACAACAACAGTGCTAAGTGTGAAAAAAATTACATAGATTGTACGACAAGTATAGATAAGAAAACAAGGCCGTTGTATACAAAACTCAACTGTACACGATTGTAAACAGATAAACAACATTTTATCATAATTTTTTGTACATTATATTAATAATTAATGAAACTACACCGTCCCTATATGAAATACCTGCGTGATACTAAAGACAAGGAGTGTAGAAGATTGTACACAGAAACATGATAATTTAGAGTTAGATTCAGTACAGTCAAACAATGAATTAAACTGCATCATACAGCTGTTTCGTCCTTCTAGGATTCGTCAGTGATGCTACATCATACAGCTGTTTCGTCTCTCTAGGACTTGTCAGTGATGTTACATCATACAGCTGTTTTGTCCTTCGAGGACTCGTCAGTGATGTTACATCATACAGCAGATTTGTCCTTCTAGGACTCGTCAGTGATGGGTTGTTAGGAATTTGTACAGACAAGCGTGATACTAGGGGCCGGGAGGGTAGTATATACAGAAGGACTGTTAGGAATTTGTACAGACAAGCGTGATACTAGGGACCAGGAGTGTAGTATATACAAAAGGGCTGTTAGGAATTTGTACAGGCAAGCGTGATACTAGGGGCCGGGAGGGTAGTATATACAAAAGGGCTGTTAGGAATTTGTACAGACAAGCGTGATACTAGGGGCCAGGAGTGTGGTATATACAGAAGGACTGTTAGGGATTTGTAAAGACAAGCGTGATACTAGGGGCCGGGAGTGTGGTATATACAGAAGGACTGTTAGGGATTTGTACAGACAAGCGATATACAGAAGGACTGTTAGGGATTTGTACAGACAAGCGTGATACTGGGGGCCGGGAGTGTAGTATGTACAGAAGGACTGATAGGGATTTGTACAGACAAGCGTGATACTAGGGGCCAGGATTGTGGTATATACAGAAGGACTGTTAGGGATTTGTACAGACAAGCGTGATACTGGGGGCCGGGAGTGTAGTATGTACAGAAGGACTGATAGGGATTTGTACAGACAAGCGTGATACTAGGGGCCAGGATTGTGGTATATACAGAAGGACTGTTAGGGATTTGTACAGACAAGCGTGATACTGGGGGCCGGGAGTGTAGTATGTACAGAAGGACTGATAGGGATTTGTACAGACAAGCGTGATACTAGGGGCCAGGATTGTGGTATATACAGAAGGACTGTTAGGGATTTGTACAGACAAGCGTGATACTAGGGACCAGGAGTGTAGTATATACAGAAGGACTGATAGGGATTTGTACAGACAAGCGTGATACTAGGGGCCAGGAGTGTGGTATATACAGAAGGACTGTTAGGGATTTGTACAGACAAGCGTGATACTAGGGGCCAGGAGTGTGGTATATACAGAAGGACTGTTAGGGATTTGTACAGACAAGCGTGATACTAGGGGCCGGGAGTGTGGTATATACAGAAGGACTGTTAGGAATTTGTACAGACAAGCGTGATACTAGGGGCCGGGAGTGTGGTATATACAGAAGGACTGTTAGGGATTTGTACAGACAAGCGTGATACTAGGGGCCGGGAGTGTGGTATATACAGAAGGACTGTTAGGGATTTGTACAGACAAGCGTGATACTAGGGGCCGGGAGTGTGGTATATACAGAAGGACTGTTAGGGATTTGTACAGACAAGCGTGATACTAGGGGCCGGGAGTGTGGTATATACAGAAGGACTGTTAGGGATTTGTACAGACAAGCGTGATACTAGGGGCCGGGAGTGTGGTATATACAGAAGGACTGTTAGGGATTTGTACAGACAAGCGTGATACTAGGGGCCTGGAGTGTGGTATATACAGAAGGACTGTTAGGGATTTGTACAGACAAGCGTGATACTAGGGGCCGGGAGTGTGGTATATACAGAAGGACTGTTAGGGATTTGTACAGACAAGCGTGATACTAGGGGCCGGGAGTGTGGTATATACAGAAGGACTGTTAGGGATTTGTACAGACAAGCGTGATACTAGGGGCCGGGAGTGTGGTATATACAGAAGGACTGTTAGGGATTTGTACAGACAAGCGTGATACTAGGGGCCGGGAGTGTGGTATATACAGAAGGACTGTTAGGGATTTGTACAGACAAGCGTGATACTAGGGGCCAGGAGTGTGGTATATACAGAAGGACTGTTAGGGATTTGTACAGACAAGCGTGATACTAGGGGCCGGGAGTGTAGTATATACAGAAGGACTGTTAGGGATTTGTACAGACAAGCGTGATACTAGGGGCCGGGAGTGTGGTATATACAGAAGGACTGTTAGGGATTTGTACAGACAAGCGTGATACTAGGGGCCAGACAAGCGTGATACTAGGGGCCAGGAGTGTGGTATATACAGAAGGACTGTTAGGGATTTGTACAGACAAGCGTGATACTAGGGGCCGGGAGTGTGGTATATACAGAAGGACTGTTAGGGATTTGTACAGACAAGCGTGATACTAGGGGCCAGGAGTGTGGTATATACAGAAGGACTGTTAGGGATTTGTACAGACAAGCGTGATACTAGGGGCCGGGAGTGTAGTATGTACAGAAGGACTGATAGGGATTTGTAAAGACAAGCGTGATACTAGGGGCCGGGAGTGTGGTATATACAGAAGGACTGTTAGGGATTTGTACAGACAAGCGTGATACTAGGGGCCGGGAGGGTAGTATATACAGAAGGACTGTTTGGGATTTGTACAGACAAGCGTGATACTAGGGGCCGGGAGTGTAGTATATACAGAAGGACTGTTAGGGATTTGTACAGAGACATGATTGATAAAATGCAGCGATGTCTAAAACGGGCACATGTCTCTGTTTTGTACCTCTAAGATGTTCCGACGATGGGGTTTCAGTACACGATACTTCTGGTGATGATGTAAGCTATAAGATATAAGATAGGTATTTGTTATTACACGATAAGTACTGTTATAACAAGTACAACAGAAAGTATCCAGCATTTACTTATTGCCTAAGTGATTGGCGATTATAACCACACAATATCAGTTATCAGTTAGAGCGATCAACAGTTAAATGGTTAACAGTTAGAGTGGTCAACAGTCAAATGGTTAACAGCTAGTGTGATCAATAGATAAATGGTTAACAGTTGCAGTGGTCAACAGTTAAATGGTTATCAGTTAGAGTGGTCAACAGTTAAATGGTTAACAGTTAGAGTGGTCACCGATTAAATGGTTAACAGTGTGGTCAACAGTTAAATGGTTATCAGTTATATACAATTATATTGACTTGTAGTGAAGATATGTATTTGATGTTTGAGTAACGCTATATTCGTATTGTCTTTCTGTGATGAATGAGGTGAGGAAACTATTCAGAGAACAGTGATAACATCACGCTGGTGAAAAAAATGTTGTAATTGTGGGAAAGATTTAGTAAACATTCAACAATCTAATTGATCTACAAGATCTAATCACAAAGGCGATTTATGATTTTATAACCAGAACATATCTTTATGATCGGGTGTGAATTATCATAAAAATAAACGGGATCTTAATACACAAGGAACGCTATGGTCAATTGAATATGAAATATATTACCAGAGTGATGGGAAAGATGTTTAAAAGCAGTCGTATTGTATACGGAATTGGAACAGTTTTATGACAGGTGTTTCTACAGCAGGTAGAATATGATAAATACAGGTAGGATCAGACTAACGATACAATACAGGTGAGAACAGTCTGATGATACAATACAGGTGAGATCAGTCTGATGATACAATACAGGTGAGAACAGTCTGATGATACAATACAGGTGAGAACAGTCTGATGATACAATACAGGTGAGATCAGTCTGATGATACAATACAGGTGAGAACAGTCTGATGATACAATACAGGTGAGAACAGTCTGATGA